TTAGCACAGAATACCGTAGTGAGAGATTGGAACGAGAACGCTCCTCGACGGACGGTTCTAGGAGCCTGGGAGATAACATTGAATACGAATGAACCACTGCTCTACTTAAATGGACATGAGAGTTCACACTATGCAGGGAGAGGAACCCGATGATTATATTTGAACAAATGAGGGACTAAGACTATACAAGTGGGTTCTATAGTAGCTTCTGGCTATCCGTCTGATAAATTACAAAGTGGGATTGGATATATGTGGGAGTGTTCTGCAGCGGGCAAAGAATCGGGATCTTAGCCATACCGTGAAAGACCCAGTCCGTACGCGGAAAAAGTACGTAATAGCATAAATAGCAACAACCTATACGCAGATCGAGGTCGCATCAGCAAGATGCATGAAGAGGAGAAATGCCCGACGTACATTGAAAATGGTGAAAATGCAAAATATACCCAGGTTCCTCCAATGGTTAGAATAAAAGACGTTACGACTTCCCAAGAATTCATCGGTCGTGCGGTACTGACAGTAGTCGCAGGAATCAGTGGCATTCGGGTTCTGGACATAGCCACCGTTCAGGTTGATGAAATCGCCCAGATACTGCATGCAGGTCTCGCCGCTCGGGGGGTTAACCTTGACGAACTCCACCGACGCGCAGTTGATGACCGACTTTCCGACAGCTAGATACCGTCACGTGAATACCATATTAGGCGGTTTTTATACACTCGTATTCACCTTGACCAAGGAAACCTTCTACAAAGTATGTCGAAGGGGAGATGCGGTTCATCCACGTCCATTTGCCGAGTTCGCGGAATGGTTGCAACACTCCATCACTGGAGCGGACGATCAGCTTAAGATCAGCCCCAACAGTAAGAGTCAGCTTACAAGACAATGATGATACCGAACAGCGCATTGAAGATGAGAGCGGCAATCTCAGCATTAGGAGCCATCGCCGCACAAGCCTGCAAGAGCAATCTAGTTAGTAGAAGGAAGGATCCAGCCTGCATCGTACTGACCTGGCCGAAAGATGTGTAATAAAGCGGATACACAATAGCGAATAGCAAAAAGGTGAAAGGAGCTCGATGCGTTGGGAAACCAGCGGTCCAGTACCAGCAGACGAAAAAGAGTGTCGAGCCAAAAATGTTCCATGGAATCTCTACCAGTAGCTGTGAGGTAATCAACGCAGACCATCGGTACATCCGGCTGTGGCGTTCTCGGATCTCATAGATGCTTCGCATGTCCAGGAAAGGCACCTGCAATTGCTCCACGACCGGTGCTGCAAGGAATGTCGAGATATAGATCGACTGCAAGAAGCTGTTTAGCACATTTGGTTTAAAATCAGCAGAACTACTCACGAAAAGCTGATTCTGCGTTCCTTGAATGGTGTTCTTTTGCTTCCAGTACGTGAAGCCAATGATCAGAGCACAGAGAATGTTCACTGCCATCTTCGCAATGAGATACACGGGGTCTCGCCAGAGTGTCAGATGATCCCTCTCAAGTAGAGTAGCTAATTGATATCCCCAAGAAGCTGCGAACTCTGAAGAACGCGTGGGCTTGTTTGGTGGTTGAGAGCGGCCGTGCACGCGAATCATCTCCAGATCATGTTGCAGATTTTCAGCTTCTCTGGATTTCTTCCAAAGTCCACTCCAGTCGGCCGTACTCGTAGCTGTTGCACCCGCACCAACAACGTCCAGCATATACTCCGCTCTGGGAGAAGAACTTAGCGAGACTGAACAAAATAACACCTTTGATGTACGTACGGGTTCTCGAGCTCTCCACATGGCCGAGCGCCATGACGTTCGAAATAATTGATCACAGTCGAAGCCTGCGCGCCCATATCGCCAAAGTACACGGTCTGACCACCTTTGCGCAGAAGTAGCAGCTTGTCGAAGACCTTGCAACGGAAAAAATGAAAAATAAATATTGTTGTCCCATGGAGGTATTATCGTTAAACCCTACCTCGAAGAGCTCAGCGGAAGGTTGGTGAATTCTATCATTGGAAACATCAAAACGTTGACCTTGAACGACAATGGCATGGAAAACGCACGTGCAGACGATAGATTGTCCGTGATCGGCGAGGCTCCTGAGGAAGTTGACAATCGCCCACGCACTCTGCGAGTCGAGTCCTGACGTTGGCTCGTCCAAGAAAATAAGCGATGGCTGCAGTATATCTGCCGTCTCAGCTATCGGCCACCGACTGAAACATCGAAATTTCGCACCTTCGCAGCGAGCTCGACTCCGACGGTTGTGCGCTTGAGCTGCTCGCATCCCAGCGTGCCGATAATGGCATCTGCGTACGCCTCGAGTCCACACATCTGGAGACACTTGTCCACGCTGAAGAACCCATCAGTCCCGCGCGTTTCACCGCGCATACACAGCACTTACTAGGCCTCCTTCTCTGCCAGAGGCACGGACTGCGGCTGGCGCAGCTTCGCGGAGAACAACAACGCCTCGCGGACGGTTGCCGACTTTACGTGCGTGTCCATCTGCTGACAATACCCACTAGCACGCATATCTCAATACACAAAATCGACGTAAATCGCCAGAACCAGTTACGTACGTTTGTGCCTGGAAATCCGCAGGGAGCATCTGACCGTTCATGAAACGCTCGCCACTGACGACACCTGCGCCCGCTCGGTCAGCAAGGACGTTGAGCAGCGTCGTCTATCAAAGGGACGGGGTGAGAACCACTCGTAGACTCTGTAACACATCAACTGCGCCGCACCTTGCCTGCTCCCGATTCACCCATCAGCGCAGTCAGCTTGCCCGGCGCAACATATCCGGATACGTCATCGAGCAGCTGTCTGTAGTTGCCGCCCGAGACCGAGACGGTGTAGCTCAGCTGCTGCCACGAGAACACGTTGCCCGCGATGGGACTGCCAGGGACGTCGTCGGGCATGCGCGCCTTCTCCTTCATCTCGGACCCCGTCGGTGTCGACACCGTCGTAGACCCGCCCATACTTGCCTTCTCGACGTCGCTGGAGCCCGCTGGAGCCGCACGTAAGGCGTCCTCGAGCGCCAATGTCTTCTGGTTCTTCTGGAACATCACCACCGACGTCTCCTCTGACGAACCCGTGTTCGCCTCCGTGATGAGGAGCAACAGAGCGATGAAGAAGATGCAGAAGGCGCATAACACGCCAAAGTTCTGTAGTGGACCGCATGGTGTTAGTGCAATCACATTTCCAAAAATATCGGGCGGCACTCACGGGCCAGAGGTGCTTGTACGTGAATCCATACGCCAGCTCGACATATCGGATACCAGACACCGTCGCCGAGCCCGCGACCGAGCCGACGACGGCACAACCCTGGTTCGCGATCGAGACGCTCTCATACCCAGGTCCGGACGGCACGAGTGTCTCGCACGATGCTTCCAGCGTGGAGAACTCGTTGACCATAAGCGCTTCAAAGCCGTACTTGAGGGGCTAGAGAACACCGAATAGGGTCAGCGATATTAGACAAAACACGAAATAGGCAGAGGGAGACACACGTTGATGTATGTGATCCACGAGAGCGCTCGTATCATGTATGGCACGGGAATCGGGAAACCGGTATAGAGGACAAGGAAGAGCATTAGCACACCCGCAGCGGCGGTGGCAGGCGCAGGATCTGAGAATGACGCGGTGATGGTGCGGAAGAATGCCTTGAGCGTGATAGTCATAACGAATACGAAAAGCATGAAAATGCTGTGAAGCGCAGGGAAGACCATTAGACCTGCATATATGCGGTATTAACGCCACGCGCACGTACAAAAACTGATGTGCCGATTCTTGCAACCCGGCGAGGAAATACAGAATTAGGGTGAAGACCGTCATCGTAACGAACGTAATCGGGATGTCAACCAGGGTCAGAGCGAGAGCCTCTACGAAAGGGTGGTACATTGCAGCTTTATAATGCCGGAGGACGATGGACCGTTGTGCAAACAAAGTTGGGATCTCTGCCATTGTTGAGAGACCAGACCAGATATACGCGCTATAAAATTTCAATATTCATCCTGTTTGATAGAGCTCGAACATGCACTCACAAGAAAATCACAGCAGCGCGCGAGAAGAATGTAGAAGTTGACGGCTGCATCCGAAGGTAGATCGTCCCCACAATCATAGACAAGATGATGAACGAGCTGGTTGCATACTATTCAGCGGCCACAACTTATAGCGAACATCGCATGAACCAAAACTTACCCGATCTCAATAGCCATGGCCGTCAATGCGCCGCGCATGATTTGTCGTCGGCGGCGCATGACCGCGCGAATCTGCATCGCGAACGAGAGGACATACGGGCCCCCTTTGCCTGCATGTGATGCAGCGTGCTCGTCGCACACGCTGTCCAGGTACGCCCGCGCGCGATCTGGCCGCCCAACGCACTCGGCACGGTAAGCCTCCATATCCGCGCGGTTCTCCAGCGAAATGGACGATTCGCGGAAGCGCGCTGCAAACTCCATCGCCGTGCGCGGGACACGCAGCACCTTGGCCGGATGCGCCGTCCGCCCGTGCGGGTCGGTCACTATATGCGGTAAAAAGTCGTGTCAGGGTCATTTAGGAGGACCGTGGAGACGCCGGGCGCCGCAGGAAGAGTGGCGCAGATAGGGAAACAAGAGAAGCACGTACCAGAGACAAGGAAGTCGGCTGTAGTCTGCCGGTGTGCTGGTTCGTAGCCCATATCGATAAAGTATTGGCGCGCACGGTTCGCAGGGCCGAAGTACGCCATCCGGCCCTCGTAGATGATGCACACCTTGTCGAACAGCTCATACAGTGGCTCGCCGGCCTGGTAGATCGAAACGATCGTGGTCAGTCGCGTAATGTTCGTGATCGTCCGCAGCGCACGGATGAACTCGAGCGCGGTCGAGGAGCTGTGGAAATCAGCGTGTTGGTACAAAAATTTTACCAAGAGAATCGATTACATACTCGAGACCACGGGTGGAGCTGGGGAGACGACGAAGTCAGCGTCCGGACATTGTAAGAAAGGCAGATCGAGCCACGCACTTGTCCCAGCAGTTGAGCAGGCCCCGTGTTGCCAACGTCTCGCCCAAGGAGACTCGCTTCTTCTCACCGCCGGAAACTCCTCGGATGGAGGCATCGCCCACAAGAGTGTCTTTCACGTGTCGGAGGCCGAAGACGGATTTCAGGACGTCCGTCATGACCTGCACACTCTTTTCCCGAGACATGGAATCCAATCGTGTGTGAGAAGTGCGTGTGAGTGCCGCAAATGCCAAGGTCTGCTCAACAGTCAGCGTGGGGAAATGGTCGTCATTCTCGGGGCAATACTGCACGTCGCCTCGGCAATGGCCCCAGACGTCGGCAGGTGAGAGTGAGTCGTAGTGCACTTGGCCCTGGACTGCGTGATAGTCTGCACGCTGATTGGCGAGCGTGCGTAGGAATGTACTGCATCCTGCTCCTGGTCGCCCGAGGACGACTGCAGGATGCGTCAGCATGATTGACGTCAAACGTGAAGGGAAGACTGTACGCACGGAGCATCTCGCCCGGTCTGACTACGCCCTCGAAACCACTGAGAATGTCACGCGTGGCTGGATGTCGTAGGTCTCGGATGCCAGAGAGCCAGTTGGATGGGTTAAGGACTGACCCAAACGTTGGCTGGATGGCAGCCGAGGCACCGAGGCCGACGACACGTAAGTCTTCAAACAGCACACCAAGCTCCCTGCGCTTGATGTCTGAGAGGTCCATTCTGGCAGACGTAGGACGTCGTCAAGAGGCAAAAAAAAAAAAA